ATGTTGCGGAATATTAATCAGCCAAGACTATGCAACGGCACGCGACTCGCACTTAAGAAATTGATGAAGAAAGTAGTGTAAGTAAAGATTTTAACGTGGCCTTTCAATTGTGAAGAATTCTCATGATTCCGACCGATACACCATTTCAATTTAAAAGATTGCAATTCCCAATTCGATTGACATTCGGAATCACAATCAATAATGCTCCAAGTCGAACTTTGGAAAAGCAAACCAGATATCCTTGATATCTATGCAGCGAATGGAAAAACAACAAATATTGTGTGCACAAAAGTACTTATTACATAACCAAAAATATATATGAAACGTATGCTTTGTTTCGTTAATATATTATCATCCATATAACAGGAATATGCCACAGCAAAGCGTGGCAGGGTACAGCTTGTTAATAATAAAAAATTAGCAAAAACTTTGTTGTTTTTCCTGTATTTGTAATTTTAGTAGTAGGTGAGGGTAATCAAGTGTCACACTTGCGAGTCGAAAAACACCATACAAGCGGCTTTTGTTGTTTATCGTTATTGCTTTTTTTAATACTGGTACTAAAAAATATGCTTACAGATAATCGCTGCCTTGCCGCGTACGACATTTTTTCGAAACCCATCTGGAAAATATTCGGAAAATGTAAGTGAGGGTTATCAAGTGACGCGAAGTGTATATCAATAAACACGTACGAAAAAAGGAACACATACGTGTATAAATAAACATGTACACAACATATACACAAAAACGGCACTCACGTACACAATACTTTCACAAAAACGGTACTAGACTCGTTTTGATTTCGGGAAGTTAGCTTACTGCCAACCCACATGGCGTCAAAACGCCAGCGTTTAATTAAATTTTTTAAACAGGTGAAACCCTATTCAAAAACCTCACAGTGAAAGAGGTCTCGCATGGTGTCGGTTTTCATTTAATCAAGTTTCAAATCTCCCTCTAACTTAAAAAAATAAAACCTGTGCACATCTATGTAGAATCCTAGTTCTTTTATTTGACTTCTCATTTTGGAAATTCGAAATAACGGTGCAGATGTGATGACCTTCAAAAAAACAAAAATAGATGGCAACTCTTATTAAAAATATTATCAGCATATAGTTTTCTTAAAACTTTTTCGTTTGACACTAATATTTCGATTATGTATCTTTCGTATAAGTAAAACAAATTCGACTTTTAGAACAGGTGGCAACCCCTTAAAAAGTATTTTCAAACTAAAATTTTTCGCCTGGCATTGTTACACATATTTCAATTAACTGATGAATTAAGTTGAATTGAATTTTTTTAAGCACATGGCAACTCTCCTAAATACAGTTTAGAAATAAATTATTTTCAAATCCATTTCGATTGATACCCATCTTTTGACAATCCATTTAACTTATTAAATAATTTGAGCTTAATTTTTTCAAAAAAAAAAACCAAATGTTCAGCTTAAAGATATCTAAACACTCGTTCTTTTGATAACCCTATTTTAAAATTTCATGTAACTTATGTATAATTAAACGAAATACCACTTTCAACCACCTTAAAAACCACCTTAAAAACCTTAAAACCATTATTTTCTAACTAAAATTTCATATAACTGATGAATTAAGTGGAAATTTATTTTTAAACACGTTGCAATCCTCCTCAATTTAGTTCTTAAATAAAGGATTTTAAACCCATTTCCATTTATAACTATCGGTTAGTAACTCATTTAACTTATTAATTAATTTTACTTTAGCCTTTTAGACTGGGGCAACCCTCAAACACATCAAAAATGTTCTAAATTGTCAAATTAAGTATTTCTTGAAGCTCTTTCATTTGACATCCATCATTAATATTTCATATAGGTGGCAACCCTATTCAAAATATTTTTAAACTACTACCTTCTTAAGCCTCTTTTGCATGACACCCATATAGCAATACCTTATTCACTTCCCAAATTCCTTTAACTAGTGTTCGCCCAGCGGTTGAAATTCAGCCGCCAAAATTAAGGATAGTTTATGTGAGTTGAGTTGAGCTGAAATAACATTAGTTGAAATGGGTTAAGTGGAGGGGAGTTTAGCTTAGTACTTAGCATAACATAACATACCATAACATAAGATTAAATAACATAACATATGTAGCATAACACACCATATATAACATCGCACATTCTTCAGTTGCATTTCCTTTTTATCCCTATCACTTTCTTCCTCTCTATCTTTGTCTCTATCGATTTTAATGTTTATGTTTATGTTTATCTTCACCTTCATGTTATGTTTATGTTCATGTTCAAGTTCATGTTCATGTTCAAGTTCTTGTTTATGTTCATATTCATGTTCATGTTCATCTTCATCTTCATATTCACCTTCGTTTATATTTAGGTTTCTTTACTTTTATTCTAATCTTTACCTTTATCCCTTTCTTCTTCTACATATTCAACTTTACCTTCTTCCGCTCCAACCATGTACATGTACGGCATTAATATTGGTGTCAATTTTGAATTGATTTTTCGCTTTATGTTAAACCAATTTGAAATTTGAAAAATTGTCTGCACATCTGCATCAAAATACCTTTCTAATGATACATAATTGTTTATACCTTTGAGGTATAGTTTAGCCGTAAAAGGGGTGTAAAGAAAACATGATTGCCTATTTGTATATAAGATAAGATACCAAAAACCAAAAAACATATGGAAACATAATTATATTGGAATATATTCGGGGTCTTCATCAAAAGTGATAAACTGATTTAATTATCATTTTATCTCGTTTATCCGAAGTTTATCAATTTATATGAACGCCGCTATTATTTTATATTTCATTATATAAGATTAAAAATCGTGTTTATTTTGGTTCACTTGGGCCAAATGATGTTGTCATTGATGCCACATCAAGTGATATCATGACAAGTGGTGAAATTGGGTGTGGTGAGTTGCGGTGCGGTGGAATTGGGTGT